GTAAAACATCTAAGAAACATCACAAATCAAACCACAAATATTATAGAGCAGACAAGAAACCTCCTAATGCATACCACAAATCTCCTGTAGCAAACCAGAAACACCACAAAGCATACCACAAAAATTTAGAAAACACACCACAAAACTCCTAATGCAGACCACAAATCTCCTAAACCAGACTAGAAACACCACAAAGCATACCACAAATATTTCTAAAACACACCATAAACCTCTTAATGCAAACAAAAAATATAGTAAAGCAAACCATAAATCTTATAAAACAAACCATAAACACGAGAAAACAAACCACAACAGAAATACAACAAAACAAATCATAAAAACATAAAGTATATCAGGAACACGAGAAAGCAAACCATAAAAAGTTGACCATGAATACAAGGAAAAATATTCCAAAAACAAACCAAAATATCTCACAATGCAGACTCCAAAATCCGACTACTTGTCAACAATGACCTAACTCCAACGACCATGACCGTTATAAAATAATGCACGATATTATCGTGTGTCATAACATTGCCATAAAATACGAATTAGTTATTTTAACTAAAATTCACGCCTTCCAACTTACTAGCTGGGCTCAAGAATAATCTGTAAAATTACATAAATTTCTGGTTTTTCTGTTGTTTAAATATTATCGTTATTTATTATTGCCAAATTCGTAGTATTTTTGTCTAGTCATACTTTGCGGCTTATCTTGATTAAAAAAAAACACAAAAGAGTATAAAAGTTATTATTTCTCAAGTTCATTTACATACCGTTTGGTATAAATAAATTCCACAAGTTTTGAGGAATTCATTTTGAAATGAAATCTATTTGTGTTTGGTATTCAAAAGAATTTATTTTAAATTCTAAATTTTAAATTATACTTAATTGAAACTAATTATAGCAATTCTGAAAAATTGAGATGGAATTTGTAAATGAATTCACTGCAAGAAAATGGTGATATAGCGACATCTATTTTGCGCCGGGCCCCTGACCGTGGCCAAGTGAATGGATTTCAAGGAGGCTCTCCTCCCGTCAATCGACCGTGGCTAAGACACTAAGCTGTTGCCGCTCTGCTACTTCAATTATTGCAGTCCTATAGTATGGTTGCGGGAGCTTTAAGTCCCTTTCAAATTTTTTTATTTGAGAAAACGTCCTTTACAATATTAAATCATTTTTACTTAAAAAAAAATCAAATTCAATAGACGAACAGTCTTCTTCTTCCCCCCAGCTCCGCGTCACTTCTCACTCATCGCGACTGAAGGGTGGTTCCTCTCTCTAGCTGAAAGAGCGATTCATGATCTTCCTCGCTCACTCCGGCAGTCGATTCTCCAAACTTGCTCGCTCTCTCTGGCCTTCAGTTCTTCGATCTCCCTCGCTCACTCCGGCCGTCGCTTCTCAGATTTTCATATCTCGCTCCGATATTGACACGCGATTGTCCGATATTGCGTGCTCGCTCCTGTTGAAAAGTTAATTCTTCTAGTCTCCCTCCGCTCGCTCTCTCTCCATGGCTCGCTCTCTGCTTTTCTCACTTGCGCTCTGCCTCTCTCGCGAGAGCGAGCTCATTCTAGTTAGGTCACAAATCGAATTTCTTAGGGTTTTTAGCTCTTAATGTCAAGAACCAGCTGCTCTCAATAACTCGAGTTGTTGGGAGAAGGTTTTGCTGGATCTTATACCACTCTCTAACACGCCCCCTCAAACGAAAACCAACCCATGTGCTTGAAGTTTGCACAGGCCTACCATACCATGTGCTTGAAAGACAACGGTTAATATTGGGGGTCGTGGAGATTCGAACACATGACCTTTCGGTTCTAGGCTCTGATACCATGTCAAGAACCAGTTGATCCCAATAACTCGAGTTGTTGGGAGAAGGTTTTGCTGGATCTTATACCACTCTCTAACACTTAACTCCGCTCAGATCGAATTTCTTCAGTCTATGTTCCTGTTTGCATGAGATCAAAGTTTAACTAGGTGTTCTATGCTTCTAGATATGGTGTCTTTGATGTTCTGGTTCTTGTTGTTTATGGTCGATTACCGTCAAATCTCTATAGTAGCTTAAGGACTATAACTGAACCAGAGTGGATAAGATTACAAGGATGCTTCAGTATAACTGATTTCTGCTTTCTATTGTGAACCAAGTCCAATTATTCTCACTGTAGAGAATTTCCTCTAATCGTCCATATGGTAGCTAATCACTTATTTGCCCCCTCTCGTTTTATTGAGCACAGTTCTACCGTAGGTGATTCCTTAGGTGGATAATATTTCTCCTGACTGTCTGCTTTTCCAATTCTGTTTGCCTTGGTGCTTTGGCTTCAATTATGCTAAATTTGAGACCCCTTGTACAGTATATTAGGTCCTCTTTCCGTCTTAATCTTGTGCTTTGTACTGTGAGTGTGATTTTTTTGGCAGCAGCTTCTTTTGGCCATGGAGTTTGATAAGCTCTTTGATTTTTCATGGCTATTCTTTGATTTACAGGTATGGCAACTACTACTAAAGCTACTCATAGACCATATTGGAAAGTAGATCATAGGTAAACCACATTTCTGGTTTACTTGACTTCCTTTTGTTGAACTTTACTCTGTTGCTTTTTTTCTCTCCTCAAGGCTCAAACCTCTTTGTTAACTTGAATAGTTTAGCTCCACTGAGGTGGTACCCTAGGAAAATTAAATCAATCTCCCTTACTGATGAATTTGTAGCCTCTTTGGTTGCCAAGATCTCACCTGTATGTCTATTTGTTTTTGCTAACTGAAACTTTATTTGGTTGGGCTATCACTTCCATCCATGGTTAAACTAACTTACCTCTTCGATAGATTCTTTCATTCCACTCTTTTTTCATCAGATTGCCTGTAACAAAATAATTCATTTTGCATTTTTTTTCATTTTTAAATATGTCTAGCTGATTTGGGACTTACTAAGCTATGTTCAAATAGATTCAATTGTAGGCATTAGAAGAAGAATCATACAGAAATATACGCTTTAGTCCTCTCTATGATGATTTTGTAACTGTATATTTAACTCAATATTTTTTTAAAAGTGGTAGAAAAGAAATTCATCTATTTTCTGCATTTTCCTTTTGTTTCCCAGATTCTGAAGGACAGAGGTCCATGACACATCTACATGCACATGATGTGTGGTATCTTCCTCATGGCACCAAGTTTGTGGTACCATTTGTAAGGAATCAGCCTGTTCATGATGGGGGTGGCCTACTTGGCCAATTCTTGGGGACTCTTAGCTAGGGACGTCAACTTCTTTCCTATAAGCTATGATAATTAGCCTGTTGTTCCTTCTAGTTATAAGAATGAAGTCCTCCATAATATAATTTCTGTAAATAGTGTTTCTTTGTGACTATAATAATGAGCTGTTTTCTACTCATTGGTTTGGATTATTAAGTATTTAATATTTGATGTTTGCAGGACAAAGCCTAGACACAAGAATAGGGCAAACAAGTACATTCTGAGTAGCTTAGACAGCAAATGGAAGGGGCACATGTTTAAACTTTACAAAAATAAGTACAAACATACATGAACAAGAGAGCAGAACATCAACAACCCTCCAGAAGGGTGATATCATCGTATTTGCACTCTTGTTTCCTGACCATTTTAGCTCGAATTTGTGGTTTCTTGGCCTATTTTACGCTATGTTGTGTTGTTTTGTCATATCTCAGGTCCTAGCGAGTAAAGAGATACATAGGCGCAAGTTTCGGGTAATTTGGAGGTCAGTTGGCGATTCAAGATTCAAAATACGGGCATCCCCTGCACAATTAAGAACGTAATTTCCACTGCCCTGGCCGTAATTTTAATGCCGAGCCAAATCCTTGAGAATGTATGTCGAAGAGAAAAATACGGGCAAGAACGGAATGAATTACAGTCATAATTCCACGAATACTGGCAGTAATTTGGTAAGGACGACCGTATTTTCCTCTCATCAGCGCTAAGTGAAACGCACGTTTTGGGCAATATACGGGCAGACCATGTTTACGACCGTAATTCAGCCCATATTTCACCCAGAATCGGGTTTTTGAGGCAGATTCGAGCCAAAGGGAAGGGAATCGACTTTTTGAGCAAAAAACAGAGTTCTGGAGAGAGAAATCGCGAAGAACAAACCCTAGGACCTATTTGGAGTGGATTTCTCACTATTGAAGCCCAGATTGCATCCCCAAGAGTGAATATCGACATCCCAGAGCAGATTATCCCCATCTTTATGAGTATGACTACTCTGATTTCTGTTTTCCTCTCTCTCTCTATGGAGTAGAACCTTCTCTCACTTGGGTATGAAGAACCCTAGTTCCATGTGTTAGGAATCTTGATTGCAATGACTTTGGATTGATATACTGATTGATTTTAATCAATTGATGCATGATTCATTGAGTCAATTGAATCCTGATCATCTTTTCTTGATTTCTGCTGCAACCTGAGATAGATAGAATCTGATTAGGTTGTTAGAGCTTCATCAATCGGTAGTAGTAGATTGGTTAATACAAGAAATAGGAGTGATCGGGTGAATATCAGCTTAATCATAGTCCCTTTCTAGGAGAATAGTTGAGATGGTATGTTCTTTATATGCATTATAGTTATAGTTGATCCTATCTAACTTATATTTCTCTGGTTTAATTTGATCATATAGAGTGAGGCAACTGGGCAGAAGGTTTCAAGAGGGCAAGTTTTCGTTGAGACTCACAAAATGCCAGATGGATTATATCTGAACCCGACCAGAGATGTTTGTGTAAGAACATTTGCCCTTCTACTTTTTTGGTGATGATGTTTGTTTTCATGTTTTTGGTGAATAGAGGAAAAAGGCAGCAACTTCTGCTTTTGCTTTGATAGATAAAATATAGGCCGATGCAGGAGCTAAGCTAATGGTCCATTCAACTTCATTATAAGGCTCTTAGGAAGGAAAAATAACTGGTGTTGGTACTTGTTAATGACTATGTTTGTTTTCATGTTTTTGGTGAACTTTGGTGTAGGAAAAAAATTGCAGAACTTGAAGCAACAGGTGCTATGCCAAAGCAAGCTGCACCTAATGATTTTTTAGGCCAAGTTTTGGGCAAAGAGCATTCAGGTAGGATGCGAGGTATGGGGGCTGGTGTTGTTCCGTCTGAGACCTTTGGTTCTAGCTCGTCTAGATATGTCGGAGAATCATCAAATGCCGATTTTGGAAGTGAACAAATTTTGTGGTCTAAGTTACAACAAAGCTTGGAGAAGAATAAGAGGTATGAAGAGTGGTCAGTCAAGATTTTTCAGCACATGAATGTCCCTATTCCATTGGAGCTAGCTATGTTAGAAGAACAAGTAAGTTGCTATTTTGAATGTAAGAACTTGTAGAGGAAATTGTGAGTTTATGCCTTTTAACTGGTGTTTTTTTTTTGTATATTTTCAGCGTCCTCTTGATTCCATTGCTCAGCAATCTGTCCACTCTTCGACTGGCGGTCGGAGACAGCAGGGATAACACTTCTTTAAAGGTACTACTTGACTCAAGAAATGGAGGAAAAAGCTTCTTTTCTTCCGTTTTTTATACCACTCCAATGTAGGCAAAATCTGTACTAAAAGACCCCACTAGACATTGAACAAAACCAACTCAAGAGAATAGAAAGAATCTGTACAATTCAAGCAAATGATAGGTGAATACTAATCTCATGTTTGTTTTCTCTTTTCTGAGATCCTAGTCCTTGAACTTTGCTAGGAAAACCTGTTTGCTAGTGAATGTTGAACCATTTTTACGTGTGTGCTGGGATCTTTGTTGTTGTTTTGTTAATTTGCAGGGTTGCAAGTTAAAGAAGGGATGCAGGGGTAAATATTAGTTTAGTATGAAATAGTATTGAACTTTAAGATTGTAGGCTTTGAACTTTTGTAAGTGGTTTGACTGATTTACAATTCTGGATTTAATTGTACTTATGTAAGGATTGATGGTTTATATTTTTGATTTGCTGATTTGATGTTAAAAAAATACACAGCAGGGTAGGGCTGTTATTATTAGTGCAGGTGACTCTTTAAAATACAGTAGCTTTTAGCGACGGTCAGAATCTGTCGCTAAACAATTTCAATAATTTCTGGAATATTTATTTAACGGCGATTGTATGAAAAATTGCGTCGATCACCACCGTCGTTAAAGTTTGGCGACGGTCGTCCAAAAACGTCACTATAATATTTAAGGACGGCGGGGTGAGCGACGCCTGGGTGTCCGTCATTAAATATATTAGCGACGGTTTTGATCGTCACTAAAAATCCGTCCGACCGACACTAAAACACTGTTTCCTTGTAGTGTATTCCACAAGTATTTACTAATTATAATAGAATGACATAATCATCCTCATTTATCAACTAAATTACTTACACATATACTATTTGGCACCAATTGATGCAATGTGAGGAACGTCACCAATAATTTATTTGAAACGCTAGAGTATTTGTTTGTTATTTTATATTTATGCTTCGATAGTATCACTACGTTAAGAAGGCACAACTAGATTGTAGGGTTCATCGATAAAATATTAGAAAAGAACTAATGAATAGAATAGAAACACACAAGAACATTTTTTATATTCTACGTATTGGACCAAAGACATTTTTTAGAAGATGGATTTTCAATGAATATTGTTTTTCCCGGAAATTAATCAGGGTGTAATTGGAGAAACTTGTAATTTCATTCAATTCTAAACCTATGCCAAATATGGTCTGGGGATTCAATTCCTATATTTCTAAAGATTTACATATGACATACCAAACACAGGAATTCATTTGACAATGAATTCTACACAGTAATTCATTTTAAAATGAAATGAATTCTCAATTCATTTGGTACCAAACAGTCTGTTACTCTTCTTTTCTATGAAATTAATCTTTCAAGTCAACCAGAGGTGAAACTCTGCATAAAAAAATGACCGCATAATAGCTAGTAGGTTAGGAAAAAAGAATTTGTTAATTTGTAATGGGCATTGGCCAATGGTGATCAGACAGACAGGCTGCATGGAGGAAACGCATCGTGCGGGTTCATCTTTTAGTGACTATTATGCCCTTTTTGATATTTTATTAAGTCAACCTAACTAATTAAAAAGTAATCATAATCCTAACTTCCTATTGGCTAGATATGATATTGTTACCCTAACAACATAAGGAGTGTTGTCACCATATCCACTCCCGTCCCGTGTGAATAATAGTTGTGTGAATAATCTTGATTCTTCCAAACAAATATCTCAAAAAAACTTGTCCAGAAGGTATAAATTTTGGTCTCATTAGATTCAAAGAAATATAAACGAGCTAAATTAATGGAAAATTCTATGATGTCGTGCCAGTACCATGCCGTTCACTCTCCACCGACTATAGACGGTCTTTTCTTTTTCCCGTTTGTGTGTTTTTGTCTATGACAAGTAATATACACAATATATAAAAGCAGGAAGGGAAAACTTGGAGCTCCATTTCAAAATCCCTGCCACAGGAGCATTTCTCGGAGGGGTAATTTAGGCAAGGTGGTTTTCCCCCTTCGTATTCAGTGCGGCCCAAAATGAACGCATGAACTAAACCGGGCCCAACTGATGTTGCAATCCCTTCAGCCTGAGAGAATGACTCGCACGAAACTACACCACAATAAAACCTCAATTAGAGCCCAAGTTTTAAAACTCTAATCGGGTGCAGTATATGGCAAGTATTTAGATATCGACCCGGGCCGGTCCGTCTATCCCTATTTCAGTTGTTGAAATCATTATCTAGCAACAAAACTTTGGTTTAAAGGTTTGATAATTGAAATAAAAGAAAGCAAAGGTGATTGAGTGACTCTTTTGTGGGAAATTCACTCGGGTTTCGCTTCCCCCTAACCGCTACCATGCTATGTGGGTTGGAATGATTGCCTTGGGCACGTTAATCGCGAACCACAGAGGAATGCATATGTGGTCGGAGACCACAGTCTCAATTGCTAAACTGAGGTAAGGATGAAAGGCAGTGTCACTCGACCCTCTCAGTTTAGACAATCGGTAATTGACTTACTCCCTCACTCAACTCTAAGGTCGGACGTTTTAATCACGATTAATCGACTTGCTTAACTCAATATTGAGGGTCACCCTAACTTAACCTAGTTTAGGTGGCGTAGAAAGCGGAAGGAAAACCAACTGGGTTGAGTCTCCCTTGAAAGGGGGATTTTCCTTTCTAAACTAGGCTAAGGTGGCAAATTAGATTACTAGCACCTAAATGCACAAACCTAGGGGGTGCTAAGCATAATTATGCACAATTCTTAGGTTGCTAAGCACCTAAATGCACAACCCTAACGATGCCAAGCACAAAACATGCACACCCCCTAGATTGGTAAGCATAAGTATGCACAATCATGATAAATAATACCTCAATCATTGAATTGAACAATACCCAATGACAATCATTCAAAACACATACAAGAAAACTACGTGGTAGAGTTAGGGTTTCACTACATCCAAGTGAAATGAGGTCTACTCCATGCTAGAAGTGGGAAGAACAAAGGGGAAAAAGGTGGAAACCATCTTGGAGGATGCTCCCAGTCTTCTTGACCCTCGAGTTGAGCTTTCCTTGGGGGAAATCTTACCAAAATCTGCCTTGAAGCCAAACCCTAACCTTCTTCTCCCCTTTGGTTATGTTTCTCTCACTAGAATGCTGAAGAAGGTGTTTCACACAAAAGTGGGCTGTCCCCTCTCTCCTCCTTTCAACTCATCTTTTAAACCCGAGATGTGCTGAGTTCACAGCCTGAGTTCACAGTCGTGAACCATGAAACGCGTCCGTGAACTCCAGGCGTGCTCCAAAACGTGCCGCATCGCTCACGTCTGTTCACGGTAAACTGCCTGTGCTCACGGTCTTAGTGATCGTGACCTCACCTTGTGTCAGTAACCTTGACATTGGCTCTGGACGCCTCGCGATTCACGGTCAACTCCCCTTCTTCACGGTCTTGCATGACCGTGAACTCCTTCAGTTAGCCGTGAACTGGCTCTTTTTCATCTCTTCTCCTGGTTTTCGATCCTTTTCGCCAATCTTTCGACTTCGAGGCTGGTTTCACCTGTTAAATCCCGAAACACACTCAAACACGAAGAACCTAGCGTAAAACCAACCTTTTAGGAGCGAATTTGGCACAAACATCTAAGTAAAACGGGGGCAAAACATGTGCAATTAGACCCGAATCACTCCCCCACACTTAGACGTTTGCTTGTCCCCAAGCAAGCCATTTCACGCACACGGTAATATTTCAACCTACACAAATACTTTGAGGACAACTCAAAGGGCACGAAGCGGGAATTCTCGATGTTCATTGACAATCAACACATGAACCGTTGCAAGCAATACCGACATCCACTACAAATGACATTCAAAGCCACCAAAACGGGCAAATGAAAAGTTCACAACTTATTCATGGATAAATGCAAGTCTCAACAAAACCGCTTATCGACCACAACCAACCATGCATGGAATTCAAGTCCGAGAAACAAATGGAAAGGCACCGAAGGTCCTCACCGGGGTATGAAATGGTAAGTAAAACAAGAATGAATCACTCACTCTCTAGAACAGTGAGGTCGTGAAATTTTTGGTGCAAAAGATGTGCAAAAGCGTAACCTCTCGGACCTATCGTCTCAATACCACGGTGGTAACCTCTAAATGCTAGAGTTCACGGGATGGTTGTCACCACTAGCTCGTCCGGAGGTCTTAGACACGGGTTAGATGACTGGAGATTGACTTGGACATGGGGAAAAAGCTTTTTGGGTGGTGGCAATCATGACGTGAGGTTCTACATCTTCAATCTAAACCCAAAGGGTCTATGGTTTCAACTAAAACCCTTCTCTTCAATCCAAGGCCACTAGCATCGGCCAAAACCCTTATCTCTCCTTTCCAACTATCACCTATCATGACCTACCTTGAAGCACTCTTCCTTGGTCAACTCTTGCTAGCTCTTTAAGGTTTGGTAGTAAAGGAATTCTAAACAATGTGGGGGTTTTGATGGCTTGGGTTCAAAGAACCCCCCTTAGAGCATGTACTTTGTTTTTTCGTGGCACTCTCTACTTTATTTACCACATTTTATTACCTCTTTTTCGTTTCTCTTTTCTTGCTCTCTCTTTTTTTTCTTTTTGAGGGGGTTATTAGAGAGTACAAACACTTGTCACCTAAGCATTAATCGACCAATGCTCTCTTTTTGAGGAACTAACTCCAACACTACACTCCATTTTGCATTCCTAGCAAGAACCACCCACAAACCTCTTATGTAGAACTTCTATGGAAACTCAAAGGTAAGAGCTCTCCGGACACACAGGCGACTCATGTTTAGACACGAAGAAAGGATTTGGGGGTCGTTCTACTAACACCTTTAAGCTCACACGAAC